ATGATTTTAATATGTATTTGTTTTATATTGAATTTATTATGTTTTTTTCATTATTATATATTATTTGATTAGATATTATTTTAATATTGATTATAATAAATTTTACTGATTATAATAAACAGGTGCAAAGAACATTTCGATCGCAACGGTTAGCTGATTAGACGTGATTTCTTGCTGAAAGCTTCTTTTATCCTCCCGAGAGACCAGCCCGAGGATGTATCGCTGTTCGACTATGGACACTGGGATTTTTCCACACGACATTCCTCAACTGCCTGATCCTGTAATCTCTGTGATAAGAAAAATTAGGAAAACCACATCTCTGCGCGGATAGAATCAGGTAAGAGTAAATTACATCGTAAACTCTGCATCAATTCTGGAGAATCCAAGGAATCTTCTCCCGAGTGATGGACCATTCGCCTGCTGATTACGTTGCATCGCAATAGAGATTGATAAACGCCGCCTTCAATTAGCGTCTGGTGTGCAACTCGCGTATACCTCTGCGTATAAATTATCTTTCGCCAGTTTTGAAGGAAACTTCGCAGACTTCCTCTCGCCGATGATTTATGTTCGCGTCGTTTAACAAAGTTTTTATTCGCGGTTGAAATTGTAAGGATGATTTATATGCATGCCGATGGATTTTGCAAGGTATTTCTTCGACATAAAAATGCTCGCGGCATTTGAAGGTTCGGCGTATTCATATGTACAAAAGAATAAGAATACGTTCTTTTCACAATGCTATGGATACTACAGTACTATGAACTTTTTGCATAAATGAAATATTTCGAAATATCTTTTGAAATATTGCCAATATTTCACATGACATTTATAATCTAATTTGAATAGTGTTCAATTTGTGATTTTTCGGAAAAATCACGAATTTCAAATTGACCACTTTTCTATGAATATTTTGCTAAAAATCGGCTTTTTAACATCGAGATGAACTTTAGGTAGTGCTTGCGTTTTCCGGGGCTGCGACTCGCGGCGAGATGTAAGTTGTACGCATAGTTTTGAGCATGTAAATGTACCGCGGCAAGCACTTGTGACGGTTGCTGAGCGAGTTTGTGCGCGCAAACTTAAACGGACGCGGCCAAACGTGAAATCATAAAAGTTTCAGTTCTAAGATGTAACGGCAGAACCAGAAGCGCCAGATATAGCCAAGCCAATGTCACGGTGTATTTTAAGCTGTAATCGCCCGGAGGATTAAACTTCGGCTCGAACCTTCCAAATTTGTTGTTTGAGTTTGGTCTTGATCCTCGCGCGACTTATACGTCTAACTCCTTCAGAAGGGTCGTCACCTCACGTGCGACTCAGGACATTCACCTCGCTGTAGAGCGATTCTTTGACCTCTGTTTATTTTTCGGATAAATTTGTCTATTAAATAAACGTAAATTTTTCGTTTCAGGCATAAAAAAATTTCTTTTGAATAAAAGTTACAGCGCAAAATGCCGGAAAATTTTATAATTATGAATGAAAAAGATTGCATTCTCGAGATGCAACATAAATTGATGGAAATGAGATCTTGAAATTGCAATAATTTGAAGAGTAATTATTTTTATAATAGAAAAAATTGCAATTACTTTAAATATGTTTTTTTTAGTTCTCACATTACACTGGTATTAAACATTATGCTATCATTATACTATCTTTATAACAAATAGATAAAATGATATGAACCCACTACCTATTAACTTGCAATCGATTATTGGAAGTTACTGTACTTTTATCTATCGCACACTTTTATCCGCTGTCGTTCGGATACAAGCAAAGGACACACAAGCGCAGATCGAAACAGGGCAAAGAGGAGAGGAGGCGAGGGAGTAGTGCATGCGAATGGCAGACGGTGCACTTTGCATCTCCAATGGGCAATTACGCATGCTCAGTTTAAAATACAGCTTAAAATATATAATACAGCCACTTTAAAGTGCTATATTCCAACAAATCCCACGACATATCGTAATTCACTGTCATTTGTTAGACGTAAAAGATGTATAAATATTTTCCTTGATAACAGATATTATAACACACATTACATATATAAAAATTTCATTACTTAAAGCATTTTAATTAAGATAAATTTATCCATAAATTAATCAGAAAATTAACAAAATAATTAAAGTTAGAATTAAGCGGAAATAGATAAAGAAGTTTCTATTATTCGTTTAGAACTCTCTGAAATTTACTTTTCTGTAATTCAGAAGAGTATTAATATTTTACTCTATATTTTTAAAAGAAAAATCTTGTCAAAGTGGTGAACAGCTTTTAACTATGTGCAATCTCAGTAAACAGAGAATTCTCAATATAATGTTCCGTTAACTAACGCTATGTCGTGAATAACTGAACTACAGCAATAATTCCGCGTATTTAACGACAATGAACCATTAAAACAGTTGAATGAGAAAATAAAAGAACTGAAGAAGAGCCCCCAGGAGAGAGACGCGTTCAAGGAGATTCTTGCTTCACAGCCAGGAAAAGCGGCATGAAAAGAGACCGAGAAGATGCTGCTAGTTCCTCGCCGCGATGCAGTTATGCTTTATGCGATTTACTTCGTGATGCCGCTCTCGTTGCGCTTTTCTTTGCAGGATAACGCGTACACGCCACACTGTCGCCGCCTGCAGGAAGAAAACGTGTATTGCTCCATAAAAGCGGCAAAAGAGAGGAGAACCTTTGAATAAGTAGATAAATTCGCGCGTTTGTGTAAGATAAACGCCAGATTTTCCACGCGATCTCACTTTACAATTTACGAGACTAATATCTCTTTGAAAAATTCGATGTCAGACTTTCCTGCAAAAAAAAAACACACTTTAATCTATAGTTTTCCATAAAAATTAGAAAAATTATATTGCAACGCGCAAAATGGTCAGATTGAAAAATCTAAAAGTCGTATTTATAAGAAAAAAAATAAATATGTGAAATAAAAATAAATCATAAATATTTCTAGAATTTCATATAAATTCAATTACGCATAAATATGCATATATATATATTTCAAGATCTTTTTATACGAATTTTAATCAAGTACACTTATGTAATAATTCTTACAATTAGATAAAAAAATCTTTTGTTTATTTTGTATCTTATCCGATTGGTTCGCGAAACATTGATAATAACGCACTCCCACAAAAAAAAAGAAATAGATCATATAATTGCAAGGATGATGAAAATTGCATTGTCGCGAAAGAGAATAAGACTCAGCATAGAAAGGGTATAACACGAAATTGATGTGTTTTATTTATATACAATATTTACAAAGGCGTAGTGTGAATCAAGTGGCTATATAAATGTCTTTGGTACGCTTAAACGCGCGCAGAAGCATGTGGCTTCATCTCCTTCATTTCCCAGTCTACAGTCTCCATCAGCCATGGTCCAGGAATCTTCTATACCTTGTTGAACGATAGTCGACGACCCGGAAGTTAGGCAATGCAGCAGACGTCTGGATCTTCCCGTCAATCCGTCTAGAATGCCGCGCCGACCGCCCACTCCTCCTCTTAATGTCCCACCCGGTGTTTGACCCTTAAATGCAGCTCTCCTGAATACTCCTGCTGATCGACTCCGAGTGCGGCCTTTGAAGACTGTAGAATGTCTGAAGTAGACCAAGAGAACGAAAATAGAGTAAAAGAGAAAGTAAAAGATAGAAGAGATTGTAACAAATAAAATTATTGTCGTAAAACAAATTGCGTGATCGTTGAACACGAAATATTTTGAAATGATTTAGGATTTGCATTTTACGTAAGAATTTATACACAGAATTTTGTAAATCAACAAAACTGTTAAAAATTTTATTTAAAATTTTGTTTTTAAAATTATATGAAAAAAGATAAGAGAAAAACATGCAAGAAAGTATTTGTACACTATGATACCATTGTTGATATGCCGGATTCACTCGAATTTGAAAGATATTTATTTACGGTTTAAAGTTAAAAGACCTGTCCCGATGGAGATATACGATACCACTTAGAAAAATGAACAGGCGACGACCGGGGAGGAATTGAATTCAAGATCTATTTGCAGAAAACTTCTCTTATTTATGTTAGTTGGACTATCATAGAATTTTCATAGCGAGTACTTTTATAGTATTTTTATAATACCATAGAATAATATATATATATATATGTCGCTGGCGACGGATCCCAAGAATTTTCGAATGCCGAAACTCGAAATTGTAAAGTACATTCCCGAATAAATAAACCTAACTGTAATTGGAATCTCTAAAAATATATTACGTCAAGATTCTGTAAGAAATTCACATATTTCATAAAATATAGAATTTACATAATTACCGAGATCTCAGTAAAATGATGTTTCCAAAGAAAAGATAGAGGAAAGAAATGTTCTACAACTTTTAATATTTCAGTGAATTTTTAAAATAGCTGAAATTTAACAACAAACAAACCACAATACTTTATCTCGACACAATTATACTCTTTCCTTATCCAGAATAAATGTGTCAGACGCAACGGAAACGTTTTCTCGCTCACTAAATCTGACTCGCAAGAAGATGGCGATAAGCGGAATCGTAAAGCAGATCGAATCAAATTCGAAAGTGGTTTTCTGTGTTCGGGATTATTGGGGAACATATGCAGATATATGAGTTCACTCTAGATCTCCTTAAATCGGAAGTTCCTAAAATTCTGCGCGATTTCATCCTTTTTTAAATATTTTATAAGTTCTTACGTTCTCTTCTATTGCTCTACTTTTAAAAAAATATCATGATAGGCATTTAAGATTGATATATATAAAACCATAAAATGTTTTAATTACTTTGATGAAAAAAACTTTGCTTTTTATATATTTCAAGATCAATTAGATCTTTCCAAAACAATCTTCCTTGATCAAATAATTAGATATCGATATAATATTTTATCTATTATTAGATAAAAAATTTTATCATAAATAATATAAAATTCCAAGTAATTCTTACACATTATTTTCACCATTAATCCCTCGCTTCGGGAAATCTTTTCTTATTATTTAAAAGCAACTTTTTTTTTCAACTTTTCTCCTGAAAGGGCGAGCAGGCCTTTAGAATTTAGGAACTAATGTCTTAGCAGATTACTCACGTTCGGCGATGCTCTCGGGTAATCTGAATCTTCTAGGACATCGTGGGACATCTCACGTCCTTCCAGTTGACGTGGTCTTCGTGGCAGAGACCCGTAACGAGGAAGCTTTCTGTCTGGAAGAAGTCCCGGGACGGATTTAGCGTCAATCGTATAATCGGTTTGAAGTAAGCCCGCGGATTTCACAAAGTATTTTGAACTTCTCTCTCAGCGGCAACTTTAGCAACTTTAGCTAGCTTCCTTCTCGTGAGGCGGCACTCTCGATTGCTCCTTACTGTTTTGTTTGCGAAAGCCGAAAGTTTCGCGGCTTGCGAAGGAAAATTGGAGATGCCCGGAAGCATCGGAGGGGAATGCTCCTATTTCGGACATTGTGGGAAAACCGAGAAACCGCATTCGAGACTTTACCGATAACAATAAAAAAAAATAGTGAAACGTGTTCTTATCCTTCGAATAATGTGTATTTGCTACCTGACTGACGGATATTCCATTCGAAGCATGTCGCTATAGTATCGTTATTAAATTACATTGATTCAACTGCTGCTAAATTTTATGGAAAATATTGAACGTTATAATTATTAAATTTTAATTTTTTAACAAAGTAGATTTAACAGGAATTTATTTTCACACATGTTTCGCGAATTCAAGATTTATGGATTCAATGTAGTTACTTTTTATATCTTAATGCATATATTTGATTCTTATTAAATATTAATTAAATTATATTAGATGTATTACATTTTTAATTTTAAGTAGTAAGATTGTGATCTAAAATTACGCGAAACACTATTGCCTCTTTTGGAACTTCCTATATAGATGCGATCTTCTCTCGCATGGATTACAGAACGCATACGTATTCCTGCGTGTATACATACATGCATATGCATGTATTCTCGTGCTCCGCGTGTATGCATATGCCGATACCCCAGAGCTGTCCGTATACCATATGTGCAATTTTCTTGAGAGTACCATTAATGCACCCTATCCTGTCTAAGGCAAAACCCGATATTCTTGAAATCCTCGTATAAATGCGGCAGTTTCATCAGTCTAAGTAGAAATTCACCGAATGAGATGGCCGGTTATGCCCGGACGATATGCCTCCGGTCCTTTCTTAAAGGGGCGCTTGTAAGATTTAAATGGTAAATCCCTGTCTCAACGTTTTGTGATTTGATACAGTGAATTTTCTCGCAATACTTCAAGAGCATTTTACTAACTGTAAAAAGTAAATTAAAAGAAATTGAAACAGGATATTGTTTCCAAAAATTCCGGGGTTTATTTTTCTTTGTCCATTGTAATTTTGTATCAATTTAAATCATTCAATTCTTTACGTTAATACATTGCAAAATTAGAGATAAATAAAAAGAAAAAAAATCCAAACATTCTTAAAATGTTAGTCTAAATTTACGAATCAAATTTTTGTATGTCAAGTTCTTTTAATCTATCTATACTTTTCACGGAAATTTTTTCATCAATGAATAAACATACAGTTTTTTTTTTTTTAATTAAGCAAACTTACCGGTGAGATGATTGGTCAAGGCCGTCGTGGGTATAAGATCCGGATTGCCGTCCTCCTCTTCGCCCTTTCCCGCGAAAGTAGCGATGCTAGGCTGCTGCGGCGGTTTCGGCTTCGCCGGGGTGGCCGCGTGCCTTCTCCAGAGCGCCATTAGCACACCGGTCACGATTAACCCCAAACCGGTCGCTGTGCCACCAAGTCCAATCAAGATCGGTGACATATCGACCGAGGACGTCGATTCGCCTGCGAATGAAATCTCTACTCTAGTCCCATCAGTCTATAAATAATGTATCCCACGTGGTGGCAATCTTCTTCCGGCAACTCTTATGTAATAGGGTTGTGTCAATCTAGATGCGTTTTATATATTTATCTGTAGTATATTATATAGAGAAAAACTAGAGTATATTTTGTATTCATTATATAGTTTATCGTTATATATTATCATTGTTAGAATTACACTATTGTCTTGCTAATCGTCACTTATTATTACTATTATTATTATTATCACCATATCAATTATTAGAGGAAATAAGTATTTCGTTTTATACATAAATCCTTGTCTCAATAATTAACTAATATTGCGTATATATATATATAAATCAATCAATCTGTCTGTTCATTTAACGTCTGTTCCTATTGCATTCCTTCTTCTCGACAAATCGGTACATTCGCGTACATACGCCTGCTTAAGATTTCGCACAGTGGCTGTGGTCAGCCACGTATCAGACGCGACCGAGCGTTCCAATTTACCTGTCCGACATCTCTCGTTTTCGGCAGGCTCGTGCGGACCCTCGTCGGCACGAGCCGTAATCTGTTTCCAATTAAGGCACGGCGTTGGATCCGATCGTTTCGAACTTCGTGGCAGGTTGCATTACGGTGGCCTAACGCTGCGGCTGATTTGTGAATCGCTCGCTTTGCGAGATGCAAGAACAGACGAAAGAGAGGTAGAGAGAAAGAAAGAGAGAGAGAGAGAGAGAGAGAGTCTGAGAGCTATGCAGCGGATTAGGAATAGCTCCGGTTCTGTGGGAACGACGCGCCCGACGCTCGCGTCGTTTCCGCGCCGTCGTTAATCATTCGGCTTTAAACCGCGAAACGGGTGTGCGTATACGTGTGCGAGCGTGTACACCGGGCGTTCCGAAATTACTGCTCTTCTTCGACTAAAGCTCTCCGGCAAAACCGATTCATTTGACAAAAATCTCTCACCGGCACACAGTAATTATTTTGTTAATTATTTCTGTAACTTAATTCTAAAAAGGCTAATGTGAAATTTTGGAATAATACACATCGAATGTGCTTTCTGTAATTATGGAAATATTATATTTCTATCAAGTTCCTATCAATATTTTTACGCGATAGAAACAGGAAAATAATTTGAGAAATTCCAATTGTAACGTAATTTGAAAGTTTAGTAGTATCCCATATACAATTTAGCACAGTTTGCGATAACTAAAGTCTTATATGAAAATTCTGTTAAAGTCCGCTTGAAATTAACTGAAGATTCTTTTGAACTGAAGACACAAAATCCTTTTTCTTTGATTGTTCAAAATATGAAAACTACTAGTACCTCAAGATTTTCGTTAATGAAAATTCGATTAGATTAATCAAAATACAATTTCCAGAGCACTTGATATAAATTGCGAGTATCGTAGCGAGGCTTGTAATTCGATCACCCTGTAAACAGGTATCCATTGAAGTTGCGCGTCGCATCGGCACGGTACAAACAACCGGCCAGCTAATTTGTTTCCAATTAACAATCAAGTTTCAGTTAAATGCTAATTAACAAAGCACAAAGTGCGTCTATTCACCACCATTGGTTGTGAGGCATAATTGAATGCGAACGAAGCATCGAGGAAACACATTAAAGGAAGGCAACCTATCACGAACCGAAGAGAGAACACGCTCCTTCTTTTCTTTAACAGTAACAAAAGACCGCATCCTTTTACGTCTTTTTGCGTTAAAACGAACCGTGGTATGCGACCTGTGTCCTGCTTTTGTGATATTCGCTATTGACAATCGACAATTCTCTCGATAAATTACGAAACGAGGAGGATTAGTACTTAAATACAACGCCGTTTTTTCCATCTATAACGTCAAAATAGCTAAAATATAATTAAATATTAAAAAGCTTTAAATATAACAGTTTTTTCAAAATTTAATTTTTCCTTAAATATAATTATTAGTCAAATTTTTTTAATTGACAACGTTATGTTTTTGACAGTTCTTCCTTAAATTTTTGAATCTGACTTAACAATTAATTTCAAGTAGAATTTATATTAATACACAATTTTAATTCTTTCAAATTTTATTAAAATCGTTACGATGTTTAATGAATGTTTGAAAATACGCTGTGACCGAATTTCTCCGATATGTAAAATAAAATATGTAAAATGAATTATACACAATTAGAAGCTACATTTACAAGCTTATCCTTATCGCATCTCTGCGATTTCTCATCCGTGAATTAACGAAAGCGACGATCACTTTCGATAGAGAATCATGTCTCTACTGGGTGTCGAGAAAATGGAGAGAAAGCGAGCGCGATGCGAACGCGGCGGAAAGCAGAATGCATAATAATGGCTCATAAATTTTGACGCTCATAAATTTTCTGTGAGGGTCGATCGCGCATGTTTCAGCGAAACCGGCAACGAGCTCGACCAGGGCTGACCTCGTGTGCGCGCGCCGAACTGTTCAACAGGGATCATTTGCATGTCGCCACTAGCATTTCCGGTTGAGATGGCGTCACAGCCATTCAAATTGAAGGATATAACTTAACACGCTTGTTCCTCAAATATGCAAACAGGAGCAAGAAAAACGTGAATCCGTAAATTATCGCTTTAGGTAATAATTTTTACAAAATAATACATTTTCGTAATAAACTTTTTTACGCTTTTTTGCATTAATTTTATAATACGCAATTTTGATTCTATTTTTATGTATGTGATTACATGTATAATGTTAATAAGATTTTTTAGTTTACATGATTTTTTAAATTTATATTAATTTTATATCACACACACGATAATTCATATTACTGCATATACATATATTTAACAATGCGAATGAATGATGAATTCATGCTAACCACTTCTCTTCTGTAACAATGGCAATTTTTGTATCTCTTGTTTTGGTAGAAAAATATGCTATGGGTTGTAAACATCTCGAATTCGAGCGCACCATTTTTATTAGAATATGTTTGTTTGCAATCTTTTGTGGTCAAACAAAGCGAAACTCTTCATCATTGTAATTTCTGCAGTGGGCACTTTTTATCGAACATTTAAAAAAAAAAAAGTACGGAAGTTTAATACACAAAAATCGGTAGAGTGCAGATTCTCTCGCGCAATATGCTATTTTTACCACACATTGTATTTTTGCTATCAAAGAGTCCGAATGAATAACAGGCGAACGGCCAGCTAGTCGATCGATAAGCTGCGATTTGACGTGAACGTCAGTTCGCGGGAGTTGAAAACGGAATAAAGGGTGCACGATAAAACGAGGAAAAAGATTTTGGTTCTAGTGCGGATACGTGATATCGATTCTATGCGCTCATGATTATTTGCATCATGAATGAAAGAATTAAGAAAAGGATTACTCTGAAATTTCCCTAGAGTTGTTCTCCATAGATTTTTACCTATGCATAATTTATGAGCTTTTTATCATGCAAACTATATTATGAACTATGTAAAATACTATGCATGTAGAAAAGAATTTAATTTTTATATTGATGCTTTTTGCCGTAGCATGTGCCAAAGAATATAATTATAATTTAAGAACAAATATTTTTAATGAATAATTATTTTTTATATATCAATAATATATAAGGTAATATTAATTGCTTGTTATTTTCTCATTAACTTTTTTCTTCAGATTGAAGTGATTATATAATACATAATATATAACTTCATTATCTCTCATTTTTTTTAAATATATCGAATGTTTGATAGTTGATATAATCGAAAAAGATACGACGGTAAATTATTGAAAGTAATCATTTTAAACAACCGAAGGTTAAATTTTAATTGTAATTTAATCAACTCTTTTTTCGTATCTCTATAATTTTAGTTCTAGAAGAAGACAAATAGTGTGTCAAAATAATATTGAAATTTGGTATTAGCAGAACTAAGGATTTTTATTCTTCGACAAGAGATTACCCATTTTCACGGATTATATCATCAATTACTAAATACTTCGTGTAAAATCATGGGTTGGATCATAGCCCTTTGCGGCACTGATCACAAGCGAGTTATTTCTTTGCTCACTACCGCGTGACGATAGTCGTGATTGGACTTGACGGAAACTTACCGGTAAACTTGGCTACTCCTTTCAAGACGACCTCTATGGCGTATGGCTCGCTGGAACCTTTCGCGTTTATCGCGTAAAGCTCGACCTTTGCCGGCTTGAGCATCTGAAACTGCCAAGAAGGGCTCGAAGACTCATGACGCTGTGTGCCTACGAGGGCGACGAATTTCTGCGGTAGACCGCCGTCGTATCCCTCGACGCAGGATATCCTCACCCAGGAGCCGTTCAGGTTGTAGGTGGTGCAGTTCTGCAACGGGTAAGGTCTGCCTGCGAAGAAGATGCGGCTTTGGAGATCGTGAGAACCGAGAAAGAGCAAGAGGGAGAATGTGGTATTTGATTAGGGAGACAAGATACGAAACCTTCAAAAAGAAAGCACAGTTCATTTTTCGAATAAATTTATTTTCTTCTCGTTTTGCTTTTTGTTCTTGTATTTCTCTTCTATTCTTTACTAGAAATCCTCCTAACTTTTATATTTTGGAGCTCTCTTAAATGTTTTATATAAGAATATATACAAAAAAGAAAAAAAGATAAAATAACTGTTGCAATAACAAATGTGAATTTAAAAAGAAAGTTAAAAGGTTAATTAATTTATAGCATTTGTTATACATTAATTAGTAAGAGAATTACAATTAACAATAATACTATTTACACAATTTCTTTAAAATTAAACATTTTTAAATTCTGAGATACTTTAAAAATACAGTGAAAACTATAAAAACATGAACAAAAAGTCATTCTCTCCGTGATAAAATGTGCAGATTTATATTACGCATTAAAAATATTCTTCCAATTACGTTTCTGATATTTTCAACTGCAAAACATATAAAATTCGTAGATAAATCACAGCAAGATCAATCTCCAGACAAACACGTTGCCAACGCTATTTTTCATATTTACAAAGATAAATAGAAATATTTATTTGATGCAATATTTGATAAAATAACAAACAGCAACAATTTAGTAAAAAAATATTTTAAAAGATCTTACAATTAGCGTTATACATATAAACATTTAATATGATCATAGATTTATGTATTATGTTTTGTTATTCTAAATGTAATTAGACCAATTAATATTTTTTTGTTTACTCTATATAGCCGCTGTTATTTTTCCTCAAATCGATTAATTCGATTTGATGAAAAATAACAGCGGCTATGAGATCGATTAATGATCTCTTCTTCACTTAAGTTAATATATATTTTTGTTATATTTCCATTTATTTTAAATCTCGTTCCACAATATATTATAAATTTATCTCCTTATCTTTATATTTTTTTACGAGGAAGGTTTAAGCCGCTACAAGAGCGCCAAAATTGAAATTCTGACGATATAAAAAAATGAGATTGCCGCAATGCGCGCGTTTCACAAATTTCGCTTTATTACCCAGCGAAAATTACGCCGCGTTTTTAAGGCAATAAGATTATATTATATGCGAAACCATTATTATTAGATACGCCGGTGGTGCATTAGCCGAGAATCCATATTATACACAAACGCGACTAAAAAGATTCTACTGTCAGCCATTACAAATCGTTTTATAATTTTTTGCACTATAAAAAAATCCATAAATTAACAATCAGACTGGCTCTTGGCAAAATTCTTTTTCTCGTAGACACATAATGACGCATCAAAGATTGTTCCATCCTCTGTGTGATCCTTTTCAAAGATAGAAGGTTAGCACACTCAATCCATTTAGTTTCCTTTATATTTTCTCAGTTTTAGTTTCTAAGTTAATAACATTTGTAATATTATATAATGTAAGAAATATAAAGAAATATAACACATAGAGAGATAGCGGTGAAATTGCGGATTTTTCTCTCGCGAATTCTCCAAAAGCATCGCGGCCAATGCGAGATTCTCTCAGTTGTTGCGAGTGTAACAAGAAGAAGAACACGAAAGATCATTGCGGTGTGTCTTGCCGACGCATGTCCTGCCATTATTACACGGTTCCACTGCATTTATTTTCGTCGTGTATCGCGCAATTGCTTTTGCCATCGCTAATCTCCTGGAAAGTGCAAAACGGAAGAAAATAGCCCGGAGGAAGAGAGGGAGGCTAATAGCACTGTCGTTGCTCACAGACGGCGGCTACGGATTAAAGCGCCGGTTTTAAAGCGCTTATTTTCCGTCATCTGCTTTATTATCCATGCTCATATCGCGAGTGTAACTCGAGACCGCCATTCTGTTCTCAAGGGGAAAAATGCGGAAATTCATAATTATCTCCCTTTTTCCCTGAATACAAAATTACATCAGACTTGGAGAAAATTTATGTAGTTTCAGTATTCTTAATATCTTCAATCGCGTATTTTTCGACAAATTTATAGCCAATAAACCAATTAGTAATTCAATTAAGAACACTTGCGCATGATATTAGTAAAAGATGTTATTGAGAAAAAAATTAAAGTTTTGACAGTTTTCTAATACGATATTGTATCGTGATATTACATACACTGCTCATTAAAAATCGGTCTGTTTAATTTTTATCGTTAACTCTCTATAATTATATTTTAAATTAAATTCTTGTTTAAGCAAAACTCCCTTGAAAAATTCAAACTTATTGATTCTAAAGTTTAATTGATTATAATTGTTGAACTATTATATATATTTATATTATTTATATACAACTTTCTGAGTTGATTTTTTAATGTTATCAAAAAAATGAATGGAAAGAAAACCAATTAGTAATTCAATTAAGAACACTTGCGCATGATATTAGTAAAAGATGTTATTGAGAAAAAAATTAAAGTTTTGACAGTTTTCTAATACGATATTGTATCGTGATATTACATACACTGCTCATTAAAAATCGGAAATTAACTTCAACTTATATTTACACAAAATCTAAAATATTACTGTTGTTTTCATCTTTATGAATTCTTTGACCTATTTAAAGTCTATTTTTCTTAGAATAAAAGATCAAAGGCATGCGACAGATCTAGAACGTCATGCATTTACAATAAATTTATAACTACTGTAGTGGAGAGCACTCGCGATGAATCGGGACCGATTTTAATACTTCGTCTCTTCGAGACCGCCTTAACGCGGAGATTAAATCGCAGGACTTGCCAACGTACGCCCCATGTTTACGATCTCTTCAGGATCTTACCGGAGAATGTGCATCAACGAGGAATAACGGGCACTTCGCATCATCGTTTCAATTAAATCACCGAATATTCGCGTCAGTACAGATCACGTCATTGTACTCGACAAGGAATTTTCATGAATCACGCCCTTCCGACATTGATGAAAGGTTTATAGAATACAATAAAATCGATATGATTTTTGTTTCCGCTGATATTTGCATTTGAAACTCGCAATCGCTCTCTAAAATTGGACCTATTCCATGTCGTATTATGTGCGAACAAATAAAAAAGGTGTACATAAAAATTTTATGATTTTTAAAAGCGTAAAAAGTCTGAAAATAACAAAAATGTTTCATCATTTTCATTAGTTTTTCGCATCAATAAATCGTTTAAATTGAAGCGAAAAAGTTCTGAACAATTTTTCATATATAATTAACATCGTTCAATAGATATTTATTTTTGTATATACATGGGTATTTATTATATACGTGGGTAAGACCTATATTTGTATAAATAATATTACGCGGGATTTTAATAATGATTACCCAGTATCGATCAATATCGATACACGATCATCAAGCATTGAGACGGGAAATGCCGCGGGCGCAGGAAAATTGCGTATTCGGTAATTATATAAGGAATACATTGGACCGATATACGAAATAAATTATATGTCCAATTACCGTGAGCGGACAGGTCATACTAGCCGAAGCGGGAAAAGAATAGTCCGCGGTGCTTCCGGCAAACTAAAATCGATTTGGTTGCCCGTCCGTCGACGAAGCGATATCGCAGCCCGTTGAAAACACGAGGAACCATGACTGCGGAACGGACAAGACTTTTCCGGTCCGACACGAGGATTCAGGAGCTAGCACGACGGCGACAGCGGTGGCGGCACGACAGGCGTTATACCTCGTAATGAACATATTCAATTACGGTTTTCATTAAATTCCCGCAAAAAAGCGCGCGACCGACGCGGGCGAATTTCAACGTGGCGTCTCTCGTTGTGCAACGTCCCGCGTTTCTCTCTTTCTTTTTTCTTTTCTTTTCTCTTCTTTTTCTTCCTCCTCTCTTTTTCTTAATCCTCGCGACTTTTCTCGTCAAATTTCCGCAAGTCGTGACGCGAGTGAGAAAACGCATACAATTGGCATCGAAATTTTTATTTTGTTCGACTTATGTATTATATTAATCCGTGCCTATATAATAATGAGCTTCAATAATATGAAATAAAAAATATGACATTTGTTAAAATATTTTCTAAGAAGAAGCTTAATTAGCCAACGAATCTGCATTTTAGGATCGTTACGATGAACAAGTCGCGTATTTACATATAATTATTAACGTAAATACATAATAATTGACAATATTGAATTTTGAAAAGCTGGGAAGATCGGTTTACAAATATTATCCTTCGCGATGTATAGGTTAACAGATTATAATATGGTTCTACGCGGATATTGTATTACTTGATTATAATATTAATAAAGAGATGGCTTTAATTACGTGCTATAAACTGCTAAATTATTCTGGTGCAATAATAGTTCTATTTCCACAAATTATGAATTAATGTTTGTACACAATATAATAACAATGAACACACACAATATACAATGAATGCACGGAACAGAATAACAATGATAATCAAGAGCAATCAGTTGGGGAACATATATCTCAAATAGATAATATTGTCGTACCTTGGATCGCGCATTCGTCGTTTTGTAAATGATTAAATATATTAAACATGCTGTTTTAACTTTAAACAGCCCTTTCGCGACTAGCAAATGTATACAGAAATATGAAAAATAAACCATCTGTATTATTCAATGTTTGCGAACGCGGATAGTAATTAAAAATTATTTTATTCACTACAAAAAATATTTTCGAACGAATATAAAAAGTTTGTACACATATCAAATGGTCTGCCGCGTTATTTATTTTCCATATTAAATAAAAATGCGGCGAAGAAATAGTCACGAACTTTAATTAATATGAGAAAATATTGCAGTCCCAAAGACAAATTTTACATTTTTATCTTTGTTATAAAAATTAGGTATATATCCATATTAAGAAGAAATGATATTTTTATACTGTAGAAACATATATATTATATGTGCACAGTTGTTGTCAAGAGATATCCCAACAAATAATTTTTCAGCAAAAGCTAGAACACTACACTATTGAATATTTGTTGTGTACTGGCAACTGATAGTTTATGGATTTTGGAAATCTGTTTCTTTGTTTTTTTTTATGCATGTGTTTTCTCAGTTAATAGTATTTTGAGTTATATAAACAAATATAAAATAAAACAAATCAGATTTGACATAAAAATTGAGCATAGTGCAAAGTAAAAATAAATAAACAATTTATACTGAATTGTGTGCAACAAATACTGCTCTTTTTCTATAATCAAATTATTATTAAAATAGTTTGAAAAACATATCGTATAGTACTTATAATTTTTTTTTAAACTAACTAGTTCCTTCCTTGCAATCTTTAGATATCTATTCCATTATTCAAGATTGTACACCTTACATCTGGGTTAATGATTAAGATGAAAAAACAAGTATAGTAAAGTGATAGGGAACTAAACTTGCACGAACCTGCGGCAATGACTTGATAAAGGCAGGGTTGTTTGGAATGACCTACGGCATTGATGGCCCAGCAGCCCAGGACCCCGTAATCCATATCGGTCGACGGGGTGTAATTAAGCCTGCTGGTTGTGCCCTCGTTGGTGTACTTGGTGGACGGAATGTCGCTGAGGTCGCCGCTGCTATTGAAGGTCCAATGGAAGGTCACATTGGTGGGGTTGGCCTCGACCTCACAAACTAAACTTATGGTCTCGTGCTTCAGAGCACCGTGCACTTCCTCGGGCATGTTGATCGGTGGCGGGGTGGCGTTCTGGTGCCTCCAGCCTCCGCCTGAATTCAGCACGTGCTTGCAAACAGGGGCGACTGCAGCATAACGTATAGATTTTGGCACTTCACTATGTATTCTAGGCAGGAACCCACGAGAACAATACAATCGAGATAAATCATAAGCTAAGAGAAAAGTGTAAAACGAAATATAAAATAAGACTGCATATATATAACTTAAAATAAAATATAATCAAGAGTGTACCGCGTTATCATTTTATAATATTTCAAAGAAAATAAACATACACAACATTCCAAAAGTATAAAAGAATATATATTAAAAAAAAAATAGGGAATACTTTTTATACCCTAAAAATTGGGCTATTTTTAAACCGCTGAAACTCGACGAAAAATCATCGTAGACAAAAAATTAAAAAAGCATTTTGAAGTTTCAACTTTAACACTCTATCGGTGGTTTAAAAAAATGTTTCTTCCTTGTTCTGTGCTTTAGAAGAGAACCCATTGTTGTGTTCCTTAAAATTATGTATTTTTAACACTCTGCAGCTCGATAAAAAAAAATTTCTCTCGAGAAATTCAACTCAAGTTTCATAAACTACAACATTTTACCTACAAAATGCTTTTTTTAAAAATTTTCTTACGATTTTTTTTGACCGAGTTACACGATTTTGAAACTAAACCTGTATTTTCTAGAAATGAGAAAATAAAAAAATTTCTTTGAGCTATCGATATCACGTTACAGTTGAAACATCGAGCTTCAAAACGTTTTTTCAATTTTTTATCTGCAATGATTTTTCGCCGAGTATCGACATTATTTCTAAAAATACAGGTTTAGAACTTGAATTGAATTTTTCGAGAGAAATTTTTTTATCGATCTGCAGAGTGTCAAAAATACATAATTTTAAGGAACAAAACAATAGGTTCTTTTCTGAAGCACAGAACAAGGAAGAAAAATTTTTTTTAAATCACCGATAGGGCGTTAAAGTTGAAACTTCAAAATGCTTTTTTAATTTTTTGTCTACCATGATTTTTTATCGAGTTTCAGCGGTTTGAAAATAGCCCAACTTTTAAAGTATGAAAAGTGTTCCCTATTTCGTTTTTAAGTAGTGTATAATGAATTGTTTTATATCCAATTCGTTTTATAATTCTTATTTCCAGTTTTAAGAAATTAAATATTAATTTTAATATCTATAAAAAATAATATAAATAAGAAAATTTTCTTAAAAATTTTCTTATTAATTCTTATTGACTTTTTACAATAAGTACACATTTTTGAATGAAAAATATTTCAACTATTTTGGTGGTGAATATTTTATTAAGAGAATCAAACATAGATTTATTTAAAATCATTTATTATAAACTTAATAATAGTGTTGTAAAATATATTGAATTATATGCGGCATAATATGCGGAGTAATCTGAGCCAAGAGTATTATTGTTGGTCGAAATATACGCCAAGTTATCGCACAATGCTGGTTAACCCATGGTTTAACAGATGATATAATTAATAATTACACTGTGTGTGAAATCTGTGGCTGCTAAAACCAAGTTTACTGAACTGACATATGTATCTATTACTGTTTTAGAACAAAAACAGACATATTGTACTTTGGCGAGTCAGTAAGACAAATGGTGCACGGTGTATTTCAAATTTCCGAGCTTTTCCGTCGAGCTTTCTCAAATTGACGCACGCTAGGTAAAGCCAATAAGAAGTTACGACGCTGTAACATTCGCCGCTAGGTAGCTACATTCGCCGTATTTCTAACCGATAAGCTAAATTTTTGAAAAATATTCCGCCTGCGTACCAGCACGCGAAACACGCGTCGGACAAAAGATTGGGATTTTCAGCGAAATTCTTTTGCATAAGCGTTATATATTAGACAGCGGGAGAGTGGTCCCTACAAGGGGGCGCAGATCGATAATCGCCCGCGGTATAACCGGCCGTTTTATTTATACTTTCCAACACCGTAAAATCGGAGCGCGAGGATTTATGCGACGCGCAGATATTCCATAAAATATCGAAGACTTTAGCGAAGTAGTAGTGGCCGATCGTGATCAGCCGCGAGGTGTACGAACAGAACTGAAGATAAAAGCGTTAAATTTCTGAGTTTCTCGAGTTTGTTTTTTATAATTTTTATGCTAAATCTTCTAATTTCTATATTCAGGGTTTCGCAAAAAGATAATTTCTCAATTCCGATTCAGTGTTTTGGAAAAACAAAAATATATTTTATAAAATTCTAATTCTTTCTCGATCTTTTCCTTCATTTTATATGACAAAAAATATTAAATAAATTTGTATTTAAGTCATTGTGTGTGTGTGTGCTCTCATACATAAAAAATAGCTTTCAATATCAAATTTGACAACTACAATATTATATTCTATATCTGCATTGTGTTGATTTGTGACATTCTACTGTACGCAGACTTCGTCGCTGGAACGAAATTTTACAATCAATATTTTCTACCGAAGAGCAGAATTTATATTTTATTCTGAAAAGATTACTTTCGTCTAGTAAAACGGTTAGTAATTAAAATTTCATTAAAATTTCTTATAATTGAATATAAATTCCGAAAGACAAAATAACTCAATTCTTTCTATTTCTTGTTTATATTTCAATATTTTTAATTATAAAAAAATATAGCTCTTAAATATCTCGGTTATTGTGGATTTTAACAAACTTCCACCGATTGTTGGTCCCCAACGGCGATGCAAAACCGCGTTCCAGCGACATTCGTCGCCGCGGAATTTCATCGTGAGGGGAAGTGCCATGCCACCGAGGCAATTAAAGCGGCGCTTTCACGAGAACGGCCTGCCCCGCTTACGAGCACAAGAGACCGTAAAACACATACTTACACATAACCTCGAGATTGACTACGTTGGACTTGGCGCGGCCCTCGACGTTCCCGGCCATGCAGGTGTACCCTCCGGCGGACTCTCGAGTTATACTCTGCAGCACCAGGGAGTGGTCCGAGAGCACCACGCCGGCAGTGACGTTGTGATGCAGCTGCTCCTTCTGAATAAGCAAACCAGATATCTACCGGGTATCTGAGCGTCAACGAACTGCTATGTGCACGCATGCAGAAACGACCCGCATCTCGTTTCAGCGTGACACAGTATTTGTCCGAATAATACCAACTTGCGTTACACACGATATTTCTAGTCGAGACGCAATTCAATTCAATTCAGTCTCTAAACAACAACTTAGAATCAATTTGAATCAATCTGGATCAATCTGAGTCTAAAACCCAAGTATAAATTTAAAAACGGGTATTATTTTGCTCGAATTAATTGAAAAAATATCAATGGTTTCTTTACCAGTTATTCTAAATTATTATTAAAATAATTGTTATTGTGTGTATTATTATTAATAGTTATTCTAAGAATAGTTTTAACCGGCCTCTGAACACAAACGCGCCACAGAGACGCCCGCAAGATTGTTAGATAACAGATGAAACACCGACGATCGTTTTGCGTCTGGTGCTTTCTCTCTCTCTCTCTCTCTCTCTTTCTCTTTCCATGTCAAATTCCCGCAGGACTCGACGGCTCTCATTGTTACCCGTCGTAAATAAACAAATTTGTCTTAGTCTTGGCATTCAGTACCGCTTCCGCCTCGGCGGAGATCGTGCTGCTGCTCGGGAGGAAGCAACCGCGGCCCGCCGCGGGTTGTCGTCTGCTCGAGGAGGTCGGACAAAGGGAATTTACGATGTACACTTGTCCTCCCACTATCTTCCCTATTTCCTCTCCCGTCTTTTTCCCTTTCTGTCTCTCGTTTTCTCTCACATCTCTTCCGTGGGATAATCCTGGCGCTTTCTTTTTTTCTGTGCTTTATCGTTACTTCTTCCTCGCCTTTCCACACCCTTTCCCCTCATCTGTCTCTATCATCGCTCTCTTGCGATTTTACGTTTTATTCCTCCTCTTTTTGCCTGAATCCCGTCGTATATAGAATGCCATATAGAAATCGTAAGCATATTCTTGGCTGACACATTTCAAGAGCGCTCTCTGCTTGTAATTTTTCTTAGAAAGAATTCAATTGAGAATGATGCTTCCTCTCTTACAGTGTTTTAATTTTAGATAAATAAATATATCCTGTGAAAATTTTGTATATTAAAATGTTATATTTTTTTTTTTTGAAATTAAGTAAGAAACAAAATTCCATTATCTATTTACAGCACCAACAAATTCTTTTAACTTCATTACCAATATCCCGATACTTAAACAATTATTTTTTGCTTTTAAAATTTGGATTTTATTTATTACTCTTCCGAAGAAAACCCCGTATAATTTTTCCTAATCGTGCTCTTTCACGCGTATAAATCGAAATATAACCCGCTCTTCTTTCTGTACCATTCGAGAACGATAGCGCCATATCCGCGTTTTGGACTTGCTTCTCCCTCCGATGCGGATTTACATTGCGCGAGAGAAAAATTCCGTTCAAGCAGAAGCATCGACGCGATCGTGATTCAACATATTTGTATGCTTTAAATCACGAAGAGATAACGGTGCTTTTTTTCTCCCTGAGGCACCAGTAAAAACACGAAATAAAGTCCACCGAATTCAGGATGTGGTTTGATATCGTCTTGCTTTTTTCGAGGGAACAGAATAAAATTTTTTGAAAGAGCCCGCGTTTTTATGTATTCAGCAATTTTTTAGTATTTAAACTTTATGAAAAATAAATTAAAAATATATTAAATTAAAATATACTAAAATTATATTAAAAATGTATAATAGAGTAATACTTTCTTAAATATTATTTCAAAGTATTTATTCATTAATAATCTTAATGAAAACGTTTGTGTATGAGAATATCTCCAAGATTTGAAAATTGGCATTACATCCTTCGACCTATCGACTTAGAATGTAATCCCTCATAAATAATCAATTCTATTTTCTGAATCTTTGTAGATAATAATGAGAATATTCAAAATGTGTAATGAAAATTGATTATGATATAGAGAAAGACCAATAACATTAACAGAGTATCAAAATATAGGATATCAATTCATTTGTCGAAATTAATTAATAAGAACAGGAAAGGATTAAGGATTCTCCGAGGATGTTTGCGGAGAGTTGCATTTACAAGGTTCGATAGGCGATGAGCGGATAAGATCGAACGAAACCGGGTCACAAATAACGTCGAGAGAAGGTACATACAGCGGCAATAACGACCGCGAGGGAAGAGGCTCGCGTGCTTGTTTCAGATGAGTAACGAGCTCCGTATCTGTCCTTCTCTCCATGGAAACTCTATTACATACGTATGTGCCGAGGGTGCCTGTAGCATCGCTGCAGAATCGGGAAGCGATACGTCTTCGCGAGAGACAGTATCGCCGTTGTATATGCGCATTCCTGTCAATGTCTTAAGCTTTAAGCGCTCGTGAAAAGCAGAGAAGCTTCACGATCTCGCGCATAATGGCCAATGGAGTAAACTCCCTGTAGTTTGATCTATATTTTATCGATGTAAAACAGACATAATACGACTTATTATATTTTTTCACAGAGCAAAAAATAAATGTTCCAGCCATCTCTCCTATTTCTTCTCCATTAAAAAGAAACTTGTCACACCTATATTCCACGATTTCCTTTAAAAATTATAGTTTTATAATAACATCAATAATTTTAGCCACTTTTGCAGCCGAGCGATTCGTATTTTCCAATGAATAATCCACGTTGTCAACGAACGTGAACTATTTCTATCTCGAAAACTCTCTCGCGGCGCAAATGGAATTTCCTATTTCGACGGCCACCTCCAGGATACGCCGTCCTGTGGGACTCGCGTATTCTCGGAGAGAACTCTCTCTTTCTCTCTCTCTTGTCTTACCGTTTCCGCGTGAGTTCTCGCGTAACATGACGCCGTCGTATTAGACGTTAAATATACGTACCGTGTCGGAGACCGGGTGATAGGAGCGCGTGCCTCGTTCCGGAATATATCCGTGTCACCGGGTATAATATACACGAAGCTTCCCCGGACTCGAGACACGGACGATAAGTTCCAACCCTCCACCCCCTAGCTCTCGCAGCAACACTCCGTTACGATGGTACGTGCATCTTACACCGGGTGTATCTCGTCGGCGAAAAGTTACGCCATTCGCTCGGGTTATGCATAAGTAACAGCTAAATCCTTTTTTAACTTTCAACTCGCGCCCGAGCATGCTTTCTCGTGGCTTTTGCGAGATGATGCGAGGAGATATCCGCTGTGGATGCGAGTCTTTTCTCAATGGAGAATTACAGAGATTGAAAACGTGGTACGATTTCGGTGAATTGAAATGCTGAGTTCATGCTTTAAATCAGTTTGAATTTTATGACTTTTTAGAAGATGAGTTTACATAACAATTTGTTAGCCTAAAATATAGTCGAAAATAAACAAGTTGTTATATAAGATATAACAACTTGAGAAATAACGAGCAAGGAGTAATAAAGTCTAAACCAACAATATATGGTGATCGAAAAATGATAACACATATATTTTGAGAGAAGAGAGTTTAAATTTAAATATAAACATTATATAACGTACATATGTCCAACATACAGAAAATTTTGTCATGTTTTCCTGTATGAGCAATTTTTCATCCCATTTCCGTGATGAAACGAGATACATCAATATCAAATTATTTCGAATATTGGATAAAGTTTCGAATTCTCAAAATACGTATGACGATACTAATCGGCGGAAATTCAATTTCCATTCAATCGTCGCAAAATGTGAAATGTCGCCTATAATATGATATAATGATGTTATATCATAGCTCATGGTGTGCAACGCTCGCCGCAACGTTAAACGTAATAATCATGTATCGACGATTTCGGATTTACACACGTTTTACTCAACCGAATCCTTTATATTGCATGGTATCCATAACAATGTAACGCAATTTCGCGAGATATCAAATAAAACGGCAAACGACAAAATGACAATTGTTTGTTTGTAACTGCAGCAATGTATTAAGCTGCAATGTTTAAGTGAGAAATATATTTAAATGTCAAAAGCCTGCGTTCGCGAGTCGAGTGTGATTTCGAATTCCCATCGTGATTGCGTTCTCGATAAATTTTTTTTCGTCGCAAAAAAATACGTATACTGCGGGGAACGTTTAATATCAAACGTATCATAACATGATTATTGCAAATATAGAGAGCACGATAGAGAAAATTTACTTAAATGATCGGCGTATACAAGCTCGAATTGCATCATACATATATAATCACATATGCGTTATTTCGCGCTCATATGATACAAAATAAAAATTTGCTGCAAGCGGTTTCAAAGGCGCATCCAAATATTTGTCGGCTATTTTTTATATCTCTTTCGATTTCCAGACGAAATGGCAGGCAGCTGCGAACTAATCCGCGACTGAATCGTCGTCGCTCGTCCGGATAATGCTCATAGCTGCGTGCACGATTTCCGCTCACACACGAAAAAAGTATTCTCGTCCACAGTCTGAATATTATAGCGTATCTTTATTTCTTATCGCCGCATGAATATTTTCGTATAAAAGTATTTTATTGATCGCAACTTTAAGAAAAATATTATTTAATCTGATTATTTTTTGTAATGTTATTTACATTTTACCACGTATTCGATATCGTCTGTGCGATTTGTAAATGAAATAATGAATAGAGAGAAAACACGAGTTTTATAGTAAAAAATATTCTTTAGCAAGTCTTCATTTTCTGTTTAATTTTAATATTCCTTGATGATTATAGTTCTCGAAACTGTGTGTGTGTGCTCTCCCTCTTCTTTTTTTTTTTATAATAATTAAAAATTACAATCAGAAAAATCGTTTCGATGAATAAGAGAGCTGAGCAGTGTGCAACAAAAATGTAGATAAAAATTTGTCTTTTGAATCTCTGTGCCGGTCTCGAGTCCGGATTAATTCTGAATCTTTGATAAAGACGCGATTGAAGCGCAGGAGTGTCACCGCGAACGAGTTGCCGCAATTTTCGCAATGGCGAACGCACGATGTGCGTTCGTTCGCGCAAACATGTGCGCTCCATCCGTCCGTTGGCCATAAAATTTTCGTCGCACGAACGTTTTTACGAATTGGTAAACCAATGGCGACCGGTGATTCGTGGGCGATTTATCGGTTCAGTTCGACGAGCAGGGCGGGACGCGGCATGAGCGGAACGGGAGAGGTGTGCGACGACGGGTGCTCGTAAATTTACAATAATTTCGACGAGAATGCACATCGACGGTCGCACGTCGCCCAACAAATAACTGCAAACATTCCGAAATTATCCTTGCTCTAAAATTCTATTCGGATGGCGGATAGAACTTATTCCCTTCGCTCTCCACTCTCCGAAAATTCACCGCATCGTGAATCGGATCCTTAAATCCTTCGCGAAAACTCGGACATTGATAATAACTTAACGAGGAAAAGCAACGAAGCAAATTGATGCTTGAAAGCATAATAAAGTAAAAAGAAAAGATACTAAAACATTCAAAGTTCTCAGGTTCTTTATTCTTTTTTAAAAGAAAAAGTTTTTTCTCTTTCTTTCGTCCCTCTTCTATATTCTTTATATTATAAATTATTTCAAGAGAGACGCACGCAAGAAAATATCTCGAAATGTCTCCAACTCGAAACAGCTATATCTTTTTTCGTTCCCTTTATATAAAATACTGTCCAATTAAAAGTTTCTTTCCGGGATGTACGGCAGGAGAGAAGAATTCCCGATGCGCCGTTCGAATCATATCGAGCGTTGCCTTCGATTTCCTCGCGCGATTCTCCAGCCCGTTTATCCGAGACGTGCACATCCTTGCACCTACCGTCGCGTCTATCGTCGTCGTTTCCTCGTGCGGCACCAGACCGATAAATAATTCGCGAAATTCCGCCTGGAATTCCCCGAAGTCGCGTTTACGGCATCTTGCCCCTCTAAGGAAAAATTTTCGTCCCCTCTGGCAACGCGCGCGACTATCTGAGGAGGAAAATCATCCCGTAAGAGCGGCGCGAGAGAAGCGACTCGATATTCCTCCTTTGTGAGGAGTCGTGAGGACTTTCGTTCTGCCTCTTAAAAGTTTAAAGAGGACAGTCAACATTCTTCCTCTCACGCCCGTCTCTTCGTTTAAAAATGCAACAACGTCATGCTGCTGGAACCGAGACAAACGATCCGCGAAATTGTCCGAAGAACATGCAAAAGAAAGACAGAGAAAAAAAGAGAGGGGGAGTAAAGGGTAGAGAGATTCATAGAAACTATATTCGAAACAGCGTGTATCATTATCCTTTGTATTTCTCCGTATGTCAAAGTAGATTACATTAAGCTTTAAATGGCTGACTAAGATCTCGCTAAATCCTTCAGTTAAATGGCATTATTCTTGAAATAATTACCTTCTGAAATTGTCATCTTTTTTACAAGTGCGCTATCGTAAAAGAAGTTTGGGCATTTATGTATTAATATCTGTCATTTAGAAGTTAAAATAATGTTATGCAGAATAGGTATCACCTCACCACCAACTTTTCCTCTCTTTCGCTTCGTTGTTATTATGTCATTGTTTATGTGTGCTTAAAAGATTAAAAGTAGAAGTTTTATTGTGAAATCAATATAAGTAACCATTCCTTTCTAATCTCATATGCTAAAATTTGATTCCATTGATTGATAAAATAAAAAAAAAGTATTTCTTTTAATCTTGGTGCACAATTTTCAAATATTTGCATATTATATGATTCGCATTATTTATCTATAGAGTACGAGAACAAGAGCGATTGACGCAAGCTGTGACGGAGAAGAAAGATATTACCGCGATCTTATATATAAATCTACTTGGCAAATTGGCTCGAGTTGGCGTTGTAAAAGCTTTGTAGTATTTAATTTTGTTCCGGGGATTAACCAGCGACTGGTCCAAGCAAGCAACGCAGTTTTCTCGGAGAAACGCGCAGTTTAAATATCGCACAACGTCCTCGTAGGACGTGAGGATATCGTGTCATGAACGAACCGGGAAAACGCTCGCAGGATTTCGTCGTCTCGAAGAAGAGAAAAAGAGAGAGAGAGAGCGAGGGAAAATGATGAAAGACGTAATCTCGTTTAAGAGGCTTAGCTCTGGCGATTCTCGAATGACCGAAGATAAAGGTGAATCTGCACGGCGTACTTTTCGACGATCATCTTCGCAGAAAAAAAAGGTATATCATAAAAACAATACGCAAGGAGATGAGAGTCCACGTTGAATGACAAAAGCAGCTTTCCTACGTTGTTATCTTTTTTCTGTCTGTTATCATGCATAAAATATCTGGTTAAAATGAGGGAAATTATTTATATTAATTAATGTTTTAATGTGCAAATCACACATTTCATAGTGATCATCATTCGCATTGAATGATGGAAGAAAATGAAGATCGATGTAAATCTGTTTGTGTAGTTTTGTTGGAATACAAGGTTTTCTTGGAGGATCCTTTGTGAAAATTTATAGTAAGAAAATTCAGGACACATTTTCCTCCATAGCTTCCACAAAGATTAATCCGAAAGTAGATCGTTTTTTGCGTCGTAGTGTCTTCGAATCTGATTAATTACGTCGTTGCAACAGCACTTTGCTTTGATCGTTGTAATTATTCGGTGGTTGAGGATCCTCTCGCGCTAACTTCGGCAATTCGTTTCTTCGCGTACGACATCTCCAGAAACTGGTAACCGGTAACGCAAGAGAATATCTAGCTTGTCTTAATCCGAGATGATTTTCCTTTTTGGTTTGCAAATAATACTATTATATAGTAATATAATAATAATAGTAATATTTATATATCCTCGATGAAATAAAAAAGACTGAACGCACGAAAAAATCAATTCTTATGAAATTCACACAAATAATCGCGAGTGTATATCTTCAGGATTTTGACGCGCGATTTTTAAATTTGTTGCAAATTCTGAAAATTTAATCCAAGATCTTTCTTCAGCGTTTGAATTTCGTGTGCAAGTAGTATATATTTTTTATTAAATCAATAAAGATCAACCGTATTAAGAAATTATTAAATTTTATGAAACTTATTAATAATTATAAGCGCACATCTTTAGAATTCTGAAGAGCGTATAAAACTTTTATGATTTTTGATAATTTATCTTTATGGTATTTTATAATATTATTTTATTTAATTTATAGATTAAATTATAAAGATTAATATATGTTTTTATATTAAAATAACTATTTTTTTCGTTTTTAATAACTCGAACGTTCTAATCGTGTCGTACTGTCTGCGCACGATTGCTTCAATGTTGCGCAATGATTCATGTAATCTATTTCGGCTAATGCCGCGTGCATCGAATAGCACTGTAGGCGGATGAGTCCGATACGCAATGTTAATGCGGGACGGACTAGGCGTACTAATTAGGGGACATTTCATTGGGGCAAGCGTAAATAGTCAGTAAAATCGGTCGTCCCTGAAATTCTGTCCTGCGGCCGTTTGCAGTCGTTAAACGCATATATATATGCTCGTTTACCTCTTATCGCCTCTTTTTATACCTGTGAAACTAATGTCGTTGAAATTGAACTAATAAACATGTCATCCCATCTATTTTTTATGATTGCGAGAAAAATAAAAAATAAAAATTTCTATCATGCAGATGTGGAATATGAAACATATGTTCTCAATATCCCTTATATATATACTTGCTTTCGTATATACAATTTTATATCTTAATAATTAATATTTATATTAAGGCTGTATTTTCGCGTAAACAGTTCCTTTCAGCAAGTTTCGGTAAAATGATGATTTATTGCGTTATCGGCCGTATTTCGTCAATGAAATCCTTCGTTAGAATATAACGATATTATGCGATGAGATATATGCGCAATGAGGTATATTGCGCAATTTAGGATGGGTTAAAGGGCTATGTTGAGGGCTATGATACTCGACCTATACCCTGCAGATCAATTGTAGCTAACCCAGATCCAACCTTTGATAATATTCGACTAATTTCTCATATATTTCCTGGGATCTATATACATATTTCTCTTCTAAAAAATTAGCCGCATCCGATTAATTAACTATATCAATAACTGGAAATGTTAGAAAGATTGACATATAGGGAACTTTAAAATCATAGAAAAATATTTCAAAGCTAGATCATTGATAAATTTGCGGTTGATTTTATCTCGTCACATGTTTCTGTTATATGTATCATGTATGCAATAAATATTCATCCTATATATCTTTATCTTATTCGATGCACGAATGTTATTACGAATAGTTGTGCATCTTTACTTCATTATCCGACAAGAGTCACATACGAGTCTTAGTCTTTAGATTTGCAAAAAAGAGAAGATTCACGCTTACCTCGTGGAACCAGACCAATTTGTTAAACTTGGGATTCGCCCTGATGTTGCATTCGAAGTAAACATCGGAGCCCTCCTTGATGTTTTTCGGATTCAAGGTGGAACCCATCTTCAAGGTGGCAATGGGTGCAACTACAATCAGAAATAAAATTCGAATGTTGAATAAAATGTGACAAATATCTTACCGATTGTAAAATATTTAGTAATTTATCTTTATTTAAGAAATCTTCATAAACATTTTTATTATTTGTCCTATAAATTGATATCTAATTAGTTGTATAATAACATAATTAAAGTTTTAAACGCACGATCTGCTGCGGCAAAATTCAAGACCAAATTCTATTTATAATTCTATACGTCACCACAACTTTTAATGTATATATGTGTGTCCTGATATATATTTTGATTTGTATGTATTTTATGTTTTCAAACGTGTTTTCTGTAATACACGACACATAAAATTTATAAATGACATTCTGTCTTGTGTGAAAATATTTTATAAATATGTTATAAATTATAAATCATCTAAAAAGTCTTTACATATTATTTTATTGTATAATAATCATTTTTAATAGAACTAGAACACTATAAGCGCGCGCTACACGCATGTCATTTATTTTGTGTGCATGTGTGTATAATTATTTACACATATTAACTTTAATTCTCCGTTTTTTCAAAATAAATTAAATAAAAATTACACATCGTTGAAATCCGTCGAATTCCTTCTCTAAACGCAATCAATATCGAGAAATTATTTGCTATTATAATATAATTAATAATTAATTAACATTTATAAATAATATGTAACTACATATATATATATATAGAGACTCCATAAATTCCTTTCCTAAACGCGATCGCGACCTGTATCGAAAAGATTAAGAATTAATTAGTCGTCGGTACCGTCATCGTGCGGCGGACGGTTTTCGAGTCTTTCGCGTCGCGTGTCAGCACAGCATTGCCACGAGTCGCACAATGGCTCATACGTGGCACGCGCATTTGTGCGTTGAACGCACACATTAAAGTGCGGGAGTGCCGTTTAAAGTATCGTGCGTGTGAATCAACCTGAGAGGAGGAGGAGGCCTAGGAGAGGCATTGGGAACCGGTGGAGCAACCCTGTGGTAAGTAAATTGTTATTTGTATATTAATTACTTATTAATTGCATACGTGCAATTTAAATTGAGCAATTAATTGTGTAATATGATTTTTTATTTATATAATTTAAACAAGAGAATTAGAGAACAAGATTTTTATATGAAAGCTATAATTTTGTAAAAGTTTCTCCTCTCTAATTATAGCTTTTATATGGAATTATTAGAGTTATTAGTAGTATTTTTTTTCAAAATTTATGAAATTATTTTATTAACCTGCTTATTATTATATGCATCGAATATAAAAATTCAATGCGTGTAATACATTTTTTAAATATTAATTATTTTAAGCACTGCTAATTTGGATCTTCTCCTATTAATTCGGTCTCTTTATTTGAATAAATTAAACAGGAGAAAATTAAAAAAAAAAGATTTTTACATATATCCTATAAAAGTTTCTATGTAAAAAAAGGTTTTTTTATAATTTATATAATTGTTCCATATTTATATAGAGCTTTTTAGTATTGTACGCATCGAATATAAACTGACTAGATGTAGCCAGAATGAATATGGCCAGGATCAACGAAAGGTAGGTCCAACTGGCCCAACATATGGTGTATTCTATTAGGGCACGCGAGTAGGGTACGCGGTAGAATACGCGAGTAGGGCATGCGATTAGGACAAACTTTTTCCCCAAATTTCGATAATCGCGAATTCCCGCTGGCTTAGCCAGCAAAGTAGGGGTTAGAACTATTAGGACCAACTAAAATTAAAATTAAACAAAGCTTCCTCTATGAGGAAGCAAAATTATTAATTTTTTTACAATTTAAATTAAATATTAAACTGTGGAAAAATGATTATAACAAATTTTAGAAATATACACATGTTACATCTTTTTTTAATAAATCAAAAACTGCATTTATATTTATTATGTATAATAAAATTTAATACACATGTGTTACATTTTATTTTATAAATTAAAACTTGTATATATATTTGTTATATCGGTATGCCATTTTATGTAATATTGAACTTTTAGATGTAAATGCTGTCAGTATCAAATTATTTGTATTATTGGATATATCGGATATATTGTATTTGATACTGATAATCATTTTTTTTAAATATTTATAAATTTAAGAGCTTGTGTTTTTATATCAAAGAATCGTTGATAAATTCGAGAAAATTTATTTCGAATTTTATAAATATCATGAATATCGCTAATTCTTCTGGTGTTTAATAAAAAAGTTATTGAATAAAAATGTGAAGACTCAATGTTAAGTCAACGATTAAATATTAGCTTTTTGTTCACGAAATTTGATAACTGCCTTAGACATTGCAGAATCGCGAG